ACAGCTCTTTCTCTAGTGAGGCTCCTTCTCTTATTGTCTGCAGCTCTCTGCTGAAATGTCAGATGCTCAGAAAGAACTTTCTTGATCCCCCATCCAAACACCACGACCTCCTGACACTTTGTCTCTCTTCTCACTGCCCTGCCTCATTTTTCTTCAACACCTTTACCTCCATCCTCCTGCATGTAATAACTTATTTTCGAAGCCAGGGACCTTGTCTGTCTTGAGCACTAGGGCATCCTCACCTCCTGGAGGTTCCCAGGCACTCGGGGAATGTGTTGAATGAATATATACATCCATAGGGATTAACTAGTACTTATAAATGATAGATGTAAAATCTAGTACATGGAAATTTAGTTGCAAATCATTGCAAAAATAATAAATACATTGTTTTGTTGGCCAAATGAAAACAGAGCCTTGTTGACCCAAGGAAAACATGGTGTGGAACAGGAACAGGCAAGACACAAGGCTGTGAGCCATATGTAGCCCTTTTCAGCTGTGCAATTTCTGGGCAATTTCTGTGCCCATTAAATTAATTATTTTCTGTGTCAAGAACCCCCGGAGATCTGTCACTGGCTTCCTACTGAATTAGCAGGTGTTTGTTATTTTCAATTTGGAGATTTAATTATGCCCTCTTCCTTTCTAAAAAGGATGCCACCTTTTTGTGGTCATTTCGGTGTTTTCTTTCCTTAGGAACTTCATTCATTCCTGCATTATTTTTAAAATAATCCATTAGAAAACACACATATTTTTAAGAAAAGATAAAACTATAACATTCACATTTTGCAATAATGCTTCACGAAATTATCTGAAAAATGACTGTTATTTATTTCAAATTGAAATCTTCAAGTTGTTTTTGAAATTTGGATAGTTTATGGTAAGAGCTATTCAACTATTTTGTTAAATCAAAAGATATATTTGCATGCGATGACATAATTTATTGATTCAAAGATTCAGTGGCTTGAGGACACCTATTTTGATGTTGCTTTATCAATTGCACAGCACTTTCACACTTAATCTCTCTCATCTGATCCTGCAGCAATACCACTTATATTATTATCTCTGTTTTTACACTTGAGGAAACCAAGGATCAAAGAGTTTGGTGAGTTTCCTGGGTTTATCCAGCTAGTTAGAGACAGATCTGGGACAGAATTCACATATTCTTATTTCGAGTTCTTTGGGCAAAAGTGACACAGGAAACAGCAGTAAAATTACTACTTTAAATACGATTTCTGTTTCCCTCAAGCTGTTGAACACCAACACCCCAAGGCCACCTTTCACGTGTAGAATTTGAGGCTGAGCCATGTTGTCACGATTCCTCATGGTAGTTGTACATGGAAATGAGAACCAAGGAATAAATGTGTCAACATAGAAGCAGGCGATGTCTGAGGTCTTGTGCCCCTTCATTCTCCAGTGGTCCCTTCTGCCCACCTCTCTGAGTCCCTGGAGTCCATACCTCCCTCCCTGCCATGGGACTGAACCCTTTCCTCTCTGCCCCAACACCAACCCCACAGCCAAGTGGTCAGTCGTCATGTAGGTTCTGAGCTGTGTAAGCATCCATTCAGGTCCCCTATTGCTGCGGGGAAGAGGAGATAGCTGTGAGGTGCCATGGCAGGACATGTAGTAGTTCTTAGACAGCAAATGCCTCAGGCTTAGTCCTAGATCAGCTTGAAAGCCCTTCCCAGTTTTGGGGGGGCTCTCAACCTATAGGAGCAGCAACCACCACAGAATATATGTAGGGAAATTCCGATACCCGTTAGCCCTCCTGCATCATGAAATCTTCCTTAGCCTGAAGCCGAGTACCCATGTTTCAGCTGTGAGTCTTCAGGCTCACTTTCAGAAATGCATGTATATGAAAAACTGCCAGTGCCTGAGCTCTCTAGGCCCCAATTTTGTCCTGTGAAGAGAAGAAATAGGAAGAGCAAAACGCTATTATAAAATTGAGACATCAATGCTGGATGATGTAGGAATTGTTGCAGTAATTGATCAAATGCTTTATAGACACAGGTATTATGATTGCATGACATGATGTCTGTCATGGCAGGGGAAACCATCAGGGCAGTTGGTCTGGTCTGTGGCTCTACTTCCCCTTTTCTCTTTGGCTCATCCATGTTTTGGTTGCACTTTGCCATCTTGCAGGGTCTTGGTCAAGGCCAGGTTCCCAGGATTGTTCTCCACCAGCATAATGGGCAAGAACATCTGGCCTTGACATCTGTAACATTTTAGACAAAGTTGAATTTTCTCCAGCATTTTTTCTTGTGATAATAACAGAGTTCCAGTCCCTGGCAAAGACGTAAATTCCCATGAATGACGTTTTGAGTCCAGTGTGATGCTTGCGATTCACTTTCAAGTAGACCATAATGATGAAAGAAAATTGCTACTAAACAAAAGGACATTTTAGTTGAATCAGCAAATATATACACCATCTAATGACATTTTGTAGCAGATTCCCAGAAAACATTGTGTGAGAATTTTTTCCTTGAAATGGCCCCAAATAAAGTAGGCCTTGTTCGTATGCATCTAACATGTTCTTTCTTGAACACGGGTGGTAGAACACATGAATTCCAGCAGTGACATCTTTAACCTTTGTTTCCTTGGCTCTTTTTTTTCCCCTAGTTCTCTGTGTCTCTCTTGCCAATAACTGTGCCCACCCTTGAGCAATCGAAACTTGATCACAGTGGATAAAAAGAAGTGTAAATCATGTTCTTTTTAAAATGCCTTATCTGATTCAGAACTATGCATAATGCTTACATATGTAACTGTATTTTGCACAAGCATTTACACAGGGAAACACTATGGGCTTATAGTTTTACTCAGAGCACTCTAATACGTAAAAAAGTATAGTGTCCTATTCAGATAGTTAATTTGATTATTATATTTGTAATAATATCAGCACATCAAAAGATGGATATCCACATAGATAGACTTTACTTTAAGATTCTTCCTCCTTGCCTAGCACTCTTGGTCATCAATTTGATTAATGGCACTCATGAAAATTTCTGAATGCCAAATAAATGCATGTAATAAGAAGATTTTTACATATACCCTAAGACCATGTTACCAGTTAAAAGTTCAGCAGATCCTCTCATTGGTCATCATTGGATGTTTCTTGATGCTTGGAATAAAGGAGTAATGATAAAGTAACAACTCTAAATGTACCAATGATGGATAACTTTTATTTATCTCTGCATTTGGATGTGATGACTGTTTTTGTTTTTTTTTTTTTTAATTTTTACATTTTTAAATCCTTAGCAATATTTTCAAAACCTTCAGGAATAAGAATTGCCAACAGGAACGCAAAGTATATTGTACTTAAATATATTCCTGGAAAATATAAGCTTGAGATAATATTCAGAGTGATGTTGGCATTTGATAAATCAGATGCAGTGAACCTAATTATGCAAAACAGTTATTTTGAATCTATCATTCATCGGAGCGCTATCTAAATCGGAATTTAATTACCAGCAAAGAGAAAAGTAAGGAACTTGCCTGCCCTGTCCCTTTCTCCTCCTCAGAATACTCAGTGGTTTTTGTTAACGCTGAATTCATAGGGTTCTCACCACTTCTCCAATTATTCAGAAACGCTGTTTTCTGTGTACTTAAAGTAGCCCATGTTAAATATACCAGTAAAACATTTTTCTATTGGCAATTTAAAAAACTACAATGGCTTTTTTTCTCAAATATTCTAGACAAGAATATTACAATTTTGAGTTTATATGTTCCTGCTGAAACAGACCTAACATCGAGCATTTGAAGACTTTGGCTTCGAAGTGCTCCCTGAGGAAGGCAAAATGGAAGGAAAGCTGTGGAGATATGGCCAAGATCGAGGAATCCCAGCACCCTGACATGTTAATCCAAAATGGAGAGGCTGAACTAGGGCTGCTGAAAGACAGTTGCCGGTTAAATCCCAGTGCTCCATGTGAGGATTAGTTGTAGGATGTAGCTGAAGGCTCATTCCCAAAATCAGCCGTTGTCTCCTTTGGTTCCTGTCTGTGTTCTGTATTCAGCATGGAAGACGCCACTTCCCCTTGATGCCCCAAGGCCATCTCATTGCCCCAATGCAAATGATTCCCCTGATGTTTCTGCTCCAGTGGTTCTGACTGTACCTCAGATAAAATATTGGCGCTCAGTCAGCGTCCTCTTTCCTGTCTGTCAAGCCAGCCTCTTCGCCCACCCTAAAGTCTTATTTCCTGATGTACAGAGGCTTCCTTTCTTCCAAGACCTTCTCATGGTTCTCTGGTCCATAGCATTGCCTCACATCAGCACCTCTTCCCATACCATGCAATGAAGTGACACAAATAAGGATTTATAAATACTACAAAGTGATATGTAGCCGCAATTTATACATTAAACCAGTTAGTGGCAATCATTCCTAACTTTTTCAGAGAGAGGCAGGCTAAATGTAAATGCTTCAACTGAAGAGGGTCAGAGTAAAGGAAAATATAACTTGAAACCTTTTTCTTTAATATCTGCTTCTCTTGGGGATTTAAGCTGTTGTAAGTTCAAACATTTTGGTTTATCCTTTTCCCAGGGAAATACTGCTGATGGGAATAAATTCTAGTTCATTTTTTAGGAACAACATCAAGATGGCTTTGCCATTGTAGCTCATCGTTTAAAATGATTTCTATTGTACGATTTAAGCTGCAAGGACTATGGGCTAATAAGAGATTTTTAGGATTGACTATCTACCTGATTCCTTTAGTGAAGAACCTAGCTACATTCGTTAAGTTTTGAGAAAAATAACATTTCACCGGTCTTGTTCCATGTGGGTTTATCTCAGAAACATCATTTTTAGAGTGAGATCATGTTTGGTCGCGAAGCCAGGCAGCTGGGTGATGCCGATAAGCTGATTAGATTGACGTATTGCTGCCATTTCATGTTATTCATTTGATTTCCTGAGAATTTCAACAATTTTGTCCAAAAAATTTGAATATGTCTTTGATTAATCAAGTTCTGTGTGGAGGTTGCCTGAGCCTTGATGCCTCTCTGTTAATTTATTTCAGCTGGGTCTCGAGCCTCATATAGCAGCCAGCATGGGCACCTGGGCCCGGAGCTGCGGGCCCTGCAATCCCCAGAACACCACATAGATCCCATCTACGAAGACCGCGTCTATCAGAAGCCCCCTATGAGGAGTCTCAGCCAGAGCCAGGGGGACCCTCTGCCGCCAGCACACACCGGCACCTACCGCACGAGCACAGGTGTGTAATCAGGACCCCACTGGGTGGCCCGTCCACAGGGGGTGGGCTCTGCGTGGGAGCTTCAGTAACACTCCCAAATGAAAGGTGTGTGTCTGTGTGTCCAGTGGCCCCACAAGCACTGTGACCTGCTTCTGTCAATGTCTGTAATGATAATAGTGGAAACAGAGTATGACTTTAGTTGAGGCTACCTTGTTATAATCTGAACGAAAGGAGGCAAATGGCGATTTTAAGCTCATTTTGTCAAAGAGAAAAATTGAAAGAAGCAATACTAATGTTTATCAGATCATTATTCACTTATATAATGAATATAAGTACCCCGAGGACATAGTCATTTGTAGGACGTGAAAGACATATGCTTGATGATGGTAAGAGTTTTTTTTCGTGATATTGTCTACCTATTTGACAAGCTTGGAACAAAAACATATTTGCTAAACATGTAGCATATTTTGAAAGGCAGACAATTTATTTCATACATACTAATAGATTGAATCACAGAATTATTGTGTGAAGGTTGGATGTTGGCAATTGCAAATGGTTCAATCAATTATGTAGCTCTCCTAGATTAAATATATATTTTCAATTGAATACAGCCACAGGTCACATGACAAAACGCAAGTGTTTTCCAGTATCTGGAGCCATTGGCAACATAATCTGTCAAATGTCATAATTAGATTGCTAGAGAACACTTATCTTAACTCTAAAATTGATGTAATTAAAAACAGGTTGAGAATTGCATTTATTATCAAGCTGCACATTGCTAAGTAAACTGGAATGACTGTGTTGCTGGTCTGCAGACAGTACAGCTCTCTCCTTCTTTCCTAATGATATGTCTGAGCGCCAGCAGAGACTGAGGCTGGCAGAGCTGGCTCTGTGCTTTGGAACCTGGCACACAGATCTCTACATCCTCAGACTATTGGAATTTCTAGTGACCGCTAAGTAGAGCATGGCAATTTTCTTAAACTGCATTATGATGCTAAATTACATGCTTTGAAATCAAGGCGAGCCAAGCTGCTTTTATAGTTGATTATTGATATTTACATTACAGTATTTCACTGAATCATAGGGAGAAAGGCACAAAATACTCTTTATTTATTTTTGACATCATAAATGCCACCCCATATTAATAATACATCCCTTGGTTTTCATGGAAAAGAATGCCCATTTATTCTTCTGTCAGATTTTTTTTCACCTTCAGCCTGTTAGATCCACTCCTGCCTGGAGGTGGGTTACTTTAGCATTTAGTTTTGCATCTTATTAAGTAAGGTAATTTTATTTTTATGCACATCTTATAAAAGAAGAAGATAACCACAGTGACATTCAATATCTAATTTGAATAAAAACTGACAACAAAAGAGATTATGTTGATTCTCTGTTCCATATTCATATGCTCTTAGAATTATCCCTTATTAATAAACTTCCAGGAACTTAATGAAAAATTAGCTACGTAAGAAAAAAAAAAAGAAAGAAACCTTCATTCGTCTATATCACATTAAACAGAGAGAAGATATCCACACTTAAAAAAAAAATTCTAGTGTGATAGTGTTTTCTCTGAGTCAGCGTCAACGAACAATGACCCATGGACCAGTTGTAGGTCACCATCTGTTTTAGTAGTGCCCATGAGCTAAGAATGATGATTGCATTTTTAAATGGTTGGGGAGGGAAATCAAAAGATGATTAATGTTCTGTAATATGTTAAAATTATATGAAGTTCAAACTTCAGTATCCATCAATAAAGTTATTGGGATGCAGCCATACCCATTCATTTATTTATCATCCGCGGTGGCTTGGGCCCTGCAGGGGCAGAGTGAAGTGCCCGTGACAGAGACCATATGGTTGGCAAAACCAAGAATATTTACTATCTGGCCCTTGACAGGAAAAATTTGCTGTCCCCTGCTCCAAGCCATCAATGGAGAGCTATCCAGAATGAAGAAGTGTTTTTTTCCTACCGCCTATGAGGAAGGCAATAGTACCATCTAACTGCTTCAAAGGTGAAACCCATTTGCTGGGGGCTTTTCCTGGTAATAGCTGTGGCAGAGATGTGCTACAATTGTGACATTCAGATGTCCAAGACCCCAACCCAGCCTGCACCTTTGAGCTTAAGGCAATTTTGAGAAAACATGCTGATTGACATAATACAATGGAAATTTCCAGAAGTGCCTGGATGACCTCTTAGGACCACAAGTGGAGGAGGAGAAGCTACCTCTCTCCAGCTCCTAAGCATAAAGCCACAAACTCTCTCTTCCCTGCATCCAACAAGGTTACCCCTGTGTCTATACCTGATTCATATAATTTCATGTCTTCACATTTCACAGCCACAGAAACTGTATCACAACCTGAATGTATGA